CTCAGCTTCTTTTTAATCCTCTTCTCTAATTTCTATTTCATTTATCGTCTCTACCACTGTATCAAATGTGCTTTTAAAACCTTCCATTGTATGTTTCATTTCTGATACTGTGTTCCGTAATGATTGGATCTCTGACCAGAGTTCATTCCTGAGTTCATGAATATTTTTCTGTACCTCCATGAGCATGTTTATGATTTTTATTTTGAAATCTGTTTCAGGAAGATTCATTAGGTTGATATCATTTGACTCTTTCTCTGGTGTATTTATAATTTTCCTTTGAATCAGGTTCCTTTGATGTTTCATATTTGTATGTGGCGCCCTCTAGTGCCCAGAAGCTCTACTCTCTGGAGCTGCTCAGCCCCTGGAGCAATGTTGGGGGTCACAGGGGAGCAATGTTGGTGCCTGTGGGGAGGAAAGAGCTGTTTCCAGCTTTTTGGCTGCTATGCCTGTCTGCACTGCCAGAATCACTGGGCCAAGCACACAAGTATAATCCTCTATGCTTTGTGTTTGTGGCTGCTGTAGGTGGGGTTTCCCTCTGGCTGGCCTAATGCCAGGGCAGGGTTTGCAGTTTGTGAGCCATGTGCAGGTTGTCAGGGAGGAAGGTGCAGCAGGCTGCGTATCATAGAGGGGTGCCTTGGAGCTGTGTAGCCAGCCAGGGGACGAGCGCCTGAAGATCGTTAAAGTTCCCAAACTGCTGGGAAGAGTGCATGCAGATCATTTTGTCTACCTGTCCTTTCTCCTGAGCAGTTAGCTCTGTGCAATCCTTGCCCCTTTAGCAGCCCTCTTGCTGTCAAAAATTCTCTCACAGTGCCTGCCTTTCTCTTGTCCTAGGGAAGCTGGATATGGATCCCTGGTTTCCACAAGCGGCTGGAATCTCAGTCTCTCCAGGTGTTCTGCCTGTCTTAGCTTTCCAACTCCCCTAATCAAGAGAGCACCATGTAATACAAGTTTGTGCTCCCAGAGGAGATCTCCAAAGCTAGGTATTCAGCAGTCCAAGGCCTCCACTCTCTCCCTGCTCCATTTCTCTTCCTCCCGCCAGTGACCTGGGGTGGAGGAAGGGCTTAGGTCCCACCAGACCACAGCTTTAGTATGTTTCCCTGTTCAGTGAAGTTTATTTTTTTCTCCAGGTGTATGCAGTCTGGCACAGCCCTCTGTCATGTTGCTCTTTCAAAGATTAGTTGTATTAATTATATTTTCTCATTTTATGCGGTTTTAGGAGGAAGCCTCTGTCTCACTTCTCACCCTGCCATCTTTATTCTCCTCATATTAAACATTTTAGAGGGAAACTCAATCATGTAGATAGCCACACCTTAAAACGTAATGGTTGAGGATCTTCAGGTATACACTACAGAATGTATCATTGACTTAATGAAATCATTACAATTATGTTAGTACACAGGAACTGCCTCTAGGAACTTCCCTATCTATACCAAGACGTGCCTGTGGGATGTCAGTTTTGCTGGCTTTCTGCCCTCGTAGGATTGCCTTCTCAGAACTGTTCCACAACTATCTCATATAAATCATCATTCCCAGAATTCCATCCCAATCAGCTAACAACACTGGACCAGTTAACATCTGTTCCACATGTAAATCTTTCAGGATAATTTCAGACAATTGTCAGTATTCAAATTACTGGATGACTAAAGAAGTTTTGGATTAGTTTGGTTTATTTTGGATTTCATGGGTTTATAATCCAATGTTTATTGAATGTCCAAAGGTAATTCTTACTTCTCAGCAGAGTCACCTTTGCTATTGTGTAGATATTGTGAACACTGGGACTGCAGCATTGCTTTCTTGGCTCCACCTCCAAATACGATCATAATGGGGATTAGATTTGAACATACAAATTTGTCTGTGGAGGGTTGGGGGTGAGACACATTCAGTCTATGGGAAACACAAATCAAGAAAAATTACCCATTAAATAATGTGGTGAATTATTTTAAAAGTCTATAATATTTCACAGTCCCTCCCCTCATAGAATGGAATTTTCTTCAGTATCCCTTCAATGTGAATTTAGCCATGTGACTTGAATTGGCCAGTTGGACATTGATAAACTTGATGCAAGTAGAGAACATAAGAATGTGTTTTGTGTTCTGTGAAAAGTGCTTGCACATAAGGATGGGTGCTTTGGCTGCTTTTGGAACTCAACCATCATATAACAAAACTAGGCTGTCTATGAGTAAAGCCAGAGACAGAGCCTGTCTTTAAAAGAAGAGAAATGTAACTTTTTCCCATGTAGAAGTCTAAATCAGATACATGGAAGGCCACACAGTTTTTAAGAGAGCTGTACCAGCCTGCACTAAAAGAGACTGAGTTTAAAGTGAAAAGAGACCTGTCTCCAACTTTCTGTATCTATGAAGATGGCTGCAAAGTTGCAAAGTACTCAGCTGAAAACATGGCCATTTCATTTATTTATTTGTTTTGTGTGTTCCAGTAAAATTTATTCATGGACACTAAAGTTTGAATTTCATAAAACTTCTACATGTCACTATGTATATATATTAAATTTGATTTTTAAAAGCTACTTCATTTATTTTTATTGACATATAGTTGTTACACAATACTACATTGGTCTCAAGTATACAACATAGTGATTTGACAGTAATCTATATTATTAAATGCTCACCCTATCTGGGGTAGTTACTGTTAACCAAGGAAGACATTAATTATTAAGTATATTCTCTATGGTATACTTTCATCTGCATGACTAATTTATATTATAATTAAGATTTTGTGCCTCCTTCACCTATTTTACCTGCTCAGCCCAATCTCTCTCCTATAGTAACCACCAGTCACTTCTCAGTGTCTGTGGATCTGCTTCTGTTCTGTTCATTTATTTTGTTTTGTTTTTTTTTTAGATTTCATGTATAAGTGAAGTCATATAGTATTTGTCTTTCTCTGCCTGGTTTATTTCACTTAGCTTAACACTATCTAGGTTCATCTGTGTTGTTGTAAATGTCAAGATTTCTTTCTTTTTTATGGCTGAATAATATTCTATTGTGTTATATATATGCATGAATAAAATACACCACATCTTCTTTATCCATTCATCTAGGTTGCTTCCATATCTTGGCTATTGTAAGTAATGTGGTGCTAAACATAGGAGTGCATATATTTTTTCAAATCAGTGATTTTTGTTTTCTTTGGATAAATTCCCAGAAGTGAAATTGCTGGGTTGTATGGTATTTCTATTTTTAGTTTTCTGAGGAGCCTCCATAGTGCTTTCCACAGTAACTTCATCAACTTACATTCCAAACAACAGTGTAAGAAAGTTCCCTTTTCTCCATATCTTCACCAACACTTGTTATTTCTTGTCTTTTGGATAGTGGCCATTCTGAATGGTGTGAGGTGATATCTCCTTGTGGTTTTGATTTTTATTTTCCCAATGATTAGTTATGTGGAGTTTCTTTTCATGTGCTCTTGGCTATCTATATATCCTCTTTGGAAAAATGTCTCCTCAGGTCCTCTGGCCATTTTTAGATTGGGTTATTTGTTTTTTGGTTTTTTGGTGTTGAGTTGTATGACTGTATATATTTTGGTCATTTTTCATGCTGATGTTTAAGGGCTTCACATCTGTTTTTTCTTTAATAATTTTATGGTTTCATGTCTTACATTGAGGTTTTTAATCCATTTTGAGTTTACTTTTTTGTATGGTCTTAGTGATCCAGTTTTGTTCTTTTCATGTAGCTGTTCAATTTTCTCAACACCGTTTATTGAAGAGACAGTATTTTCCCCATTGTATATTCTTGCCTTCTTTGTCATATATTAATTGACCATATGTGCATGGTTTATTTCTGGCCTCTCTATTCTGTATCATTGATCCATGTATTTATCCTTGTGCCAGTATCATACTATTTTTATCACTGTAGTTTTGTAGTATAGCTTGAAGTCAGAGAATGTGATACTCCTAGCTTTGTTCTTCTTTTGCAGGATTGCTGTGGCTATTTGGAGTCTTTTGTGGTTCCATCTAAATTTTAGGATTATTTGCTCTAGTTCATTAAAAAATTCCATTGGTGTTTTGATAGGAATTACAGTTAGTCTATAGATAGCTTGGAGCAGGATGCATAGCCATTTCATTTATAAAAGGAAAAATGTCTCAGAAAGCAGAGCCAAATCCCAGAGGGCATATCCATAGAGAACAATGGACTGGACAGCCACTACCAGAGACTGGACTATTCTTTGTGCCCAGACAGGGGAACTAGCAACATGTACCCATCTCAATTTTACAATTGTTATTGATCAGTGACAGCTATGAAAGTGCCATTTGTTTATTGTAATTATTTTGACTTTGGCTCATTATTGGGTGTGTCTTTTTAGTTTTGAAGTTTCTCAATCAAGAGGAGCTGTATCCAAGTATCCTCACTTGCATTCACAAAATATGCAGATCACATGATACTGGACTTGAGCCTGATGTAGGAATTGAAAGAGAATTTGGGGAATCCTGAGAAGGTTGAGGATATTTTCCATATGGGGAGAATGAAATGATTGTGGCCAGAGGGTGGACAATAGTTCACTGAGGTAGGGAATAAAAAATGGTCACAATATTTTACAGCAACTCCCATAAAGAAATTGAGCCTTTCTTTCCACTCCGTAATCTGGAGTTGGCTATGCAATTTGCTTTGACCAAAGGGACATTAGCAACTGTAATAGAAACAGATGCTTGAGATGAGTTTGAACAGTTGCTTGCTTTTGTAACAAAGTCATCATGTATAAAAGGTCTGGCTAGCCTCCTAGATGCCGAAAGATATATGGCCTGTTGCCTCATTTGCCTCAGACAACAGCCAGACATATGAATGAGGCAACTGGGAATTAGTCCACAGACAATCTATTAGCAGACTGCACACGCATGAGTGAGCTAGGTTGACCAGAAGAATCATACGCTAAATAAAATGATCATTTTAAGTTCCTAAATTTTTGTGTAGTTTACTATTCAGAAAAAAGACATACAAATAATTATTGTGAAATAAAACTTTATTTACATGTTCTCAGTGTAAGTTGTTCAGTTTACCTGAGGGCTGGCAAAACTTAGTATGTGTTAATAATCTCTGACATACTCTTTCAGGCTGATTCTTATGACCAGAGTTCAAAGTACATGTAGTCCTAGAGTAAAAATGAAAAATAAGTATAATTAAATTGTTTTAATGGTAGAAACAGGTATAGACTTTAGACATGACAGTGCTTTCTGGGTCTTGAGTTAAAACAGAATTCTAAGGGTCAGACCTCTTAGGAAACAACTTCTAAAGGAATAAGAATGATTGACTACTCTTAAACACAACAAAATAGTAAATTTGGATATAAAGTCCCCTTGAGAATAGCAAGTAATTCTGCTTCTTTATATATTCATGCATATATATTCATATTCATATATACTCCATCATATAGAAAAGCATAGCAATAGAGAAGGAAAAATTTATATTTTGAATTCCTCCAAAATCTACCATTAACATTTTCATTCAGATTCCTTCCAGATACATGCAATTGGTATTATAATATGCTTATCTCCAGTTTTTATCACTGCATAATATATCCTGAGTTTTCATGTTATTAAAGTTCATTTATTGAATATTTATTTTAAGTTTAACATTCTGTTTCAGAAATAGCTCATAATGTATTGAATAAATCTCATATTTTAAATTTTAACAAAATTAAAAAAAATTTTGTTTTAAAGGTTGTTTTTACTTTTCATTATTTATTGTACTAAAGTTTGTCACATAAGTATACAAAAGTATTAGTGGAGTATGTAATTATTTGCAACTCTGCTGATTTTTTTTGGAAGGAATTAACACATATGAAAGAATGTGAACCTTAAATTTTTTTTTTAACACAATGAAACATTGTTTAGTCTCACAAAGATTTGAATACATATCGCTGAGTTTTCAATGAAACAAGGCATGATGTAGATTGAAGGTGACACAGAACAACTGCAAAAATAATCTCACCTAATTTAGAATTACCAGAAAACATGCAACATGCAGGAAGACTGCTCACAATTTATATAATATGTTGATATATGGCATTCTAGTCATGTTTCTCTGTACATAAGGCAGGAATAAATATATTGCATTCTCTTACAGTTTCAGAATGTAGTAGAATATTTAATGTAACTCTGGCAGATATCTATTAATAATATGCTTAGATCGATCCACCAGTGAACTTAGATTATCAAGGCTATGTGTTGGCCCTAGTCTCGGCACAGGCTAACAAACAGATTTATGTACATTTAACAGTTACAGAAATTTGAAGTTCTGAGCTATCAGCCTGAGAGTAATGAGCCACAGTGGAGAAAGACAAGCCCATAGAGTATGCAGCATATAGGACCTAAAGAGAAATCTGGCAAAAGATAAATTTCTGTTAATGATATGTGTCAAGGATTTTAAGATGATTAATATTCAAACAAGGAATCTTCCCAATTTCTCTTATCCTGTGATCGTTTTCTGTTACAACCAAATACTCAGAGCAAGTCAGTTCATATGAGAGCCCTGTTAGAAATATCTTCGTGAATGAAGGGAGAAGTACTGATGTGCATGTGGGGGCAAGTGGTACGGGGACATCCAGTGACACTGGGGGTCCTTCCAGGAGCCGGTGAAGGGGTGGAGGTAGCCCCTCTGTTTAAAAATGTTATAAAATATCAGGGAGGAAGTTGGCTTTTTTGTACTCATCAGCTGTTAGAATATAAATCTGGTTCTCAGGTACCGTTCTTCATTCAGTTGACAAGGATATGTTTTCTTCTTCCCTTGTAAAATTTCGGATTAGGAAATGGGTATGTAACCAGAGGGGGGCCTTCCAGGAACTTCTTTACCAGCGCATTTGGGTCAAACAGTCCTTCCATTGCTGTTGTCATGTCAGATTAGTGGTTGCAGGCTTCCACTGGGACAAAGCTTTCACTGGTATATTTGCTCCTAGATACATATGCCTTCTTCACCAAATTCTATCCCCCATGACAGTGTCCCTCCAGCTTACATTACCGACAATCATGTACACCAACAAGTGTGGGAAAGACTGTGGATTCATGCAGTAGTCTTCTAATTTCTCTGCTGAACTGCTAGGATGGTGCTCACCAGATGAAGAATCACAGGCTTTGTGGCATTTCCAAGCGAAGATTTTGAGTTATCCTGGATGTATTAAATTAAAGGAACCTAAATGTTCCCATGTAGATGCACGGTAGTCAATTGGATGTGTGTGGATAAAATTGTAACATATCCAAACTCTGAACCTTAACATTTTTGATAGACATTTCCATTTGTTCCCCAAAAGTTGTACCAGTAGCTCATCATACCTTAAACCTCCATCAGCAGAGTTCATCATTAGAAAAGAAAAACCTCTATTGTGTGATAAATGAAAAGGGATATTTCACTTGTTTTATTTTATTCATATGCTTTTTTAAAAAAAAAAGAAAAATGTTTTCTTAGAGTTATTGGTTATTTGTTCTCCCTCTTAAATGTTTGTATGATTTTTTCATATTCTTTGCCCATTTCCATAGAAATCTGATATTTTTCTTCTTATTTAAATAAAATTGTTATTAATATAAGGATATTATTCATTGGTCTTATTGGAAGCATATATTTATTGTTTGCTTTTGAATATTTAATGTTACAATTTGTTTTGAGGTACAGAACTTTAAGATATTCTAATTTGGCAGCCTGTTACTTTGTGATCTACTTGCTTTGAAATTTCTTTTCTATCTAGAGATGAGATGTGGTTGCTTTTTGTTTATTTTTGTTAGTAATTCAACATCTCTTTCCTTGTGCTTCCTTTGGGTTTGTTCTGTCCTTTTACTAACTTTTTAGAGATGGATACCTATCTCATTATTTTCCACTTACTTCTTTTCCTCAATGAGTATTTATGCTATACATTTCTCTTGAACATCTTTAGTTGCATCTCAAAAGTTTTGACAGGTCATTTTTTTTAGTTATGTAAGTTGACATTAAAATTTTTGAGTTATGCATTATTTCTATCCCTGAGTTATTTACACATTTCCATATGTAAAATATTTAAAAAATAAGTATCTTTATGAATTTATAATTTAATGTTATATGCTCAGACACCAAGGTCCAAATGCTTTTTGGCCTACTCTGAAATAACTTTTGTAAAAATGTTTGAGAACAATATATATCATCTGCTTGTTTAATATGAAATTTTACATATGCCCATTAAATCAATCTTGTTAATTTTGTTGTTCAAATTTTAAGTAACTTTACTAAGGTTCTGTCTCCTACACCAAGTAAAAATTGGCAGATGTGCATAAATTTCCCACTATGAAGTTGAGTTTGTCACTCTAACTGTAATAACATATTTCTCTACATGTTAAGGTTGATATTAGATGCACACTGGTCTAGAATTACTATGTCTTCTTTTTAGTAGAATTTTATCATCATGTAGTTATCCTTTCTGATCTTTGCCCTTAGTGTTTTTTGTCTTAAAGTCTAATTATTTTCTGATATTAATTTAGTTTTACTAGCTTTCGTGTGTTTATTAGCTTAGCATTTTTCTGTTATACATCTTTCAAATTTTTTGTCATTATTTTAGATTTGTCTCTGGATAGTGAAACAAAACAATTTAACACTGTTTTTCTTTTAACTTTCAAGTTTTGCCTATTTACATGTATTGTGGTTATTGTAAAAGTTGCATAAAATATATTTAAATGACATATTAATATAGAAATTCATTTTGATACCTATATAGAAAATATATATATTTTTCAAACCATTTTGATTCTCTATTTCTGTTTGCCCCACTTTATCTGTTTTTTCCCCAAAATGGGTGTTTGTTTTTTCTTTGTTTGTATTTTATTCCCATTTTTTGTCTTTGCAAGTTTGAAATTTATACAATCTTTTTGTTGTTTCAGTGGTTAGCCATGAAATTTTAACACACACATTTGAACTTAATTCATCTCCTGAACAGTACAAAGATGATAAACTATTTTAATTTTAATTACTTTCTAACAACTTTAATACTTTTGTTGACTATTTTAGTTTGCTTCTTTCTCAATTCAAACGATTAGATGTTTGCTATTATTTCTTAAAACATGTTTGCATTCATAAATATGTTTAGCTTTTATTTGCTTATAAATATTGTTGAACCTCAGATGATCCTTTTCAGTTCCTTCTTCCTAAACTATCTCCTTCAGAAATGATTTGTGTGTTGTCAAACTCTGAGTTTTTTAATACATTTATTTACTTTACTGTCATCCTTGAGACTTTCATCTTAAAGAAAATGAAATTTGAGAGTTGTTTTTTTAAATCAGTATTTTGAAGATATTCTACTGTATTCTGGCTTTCACTGTTTCTGTTAAGAAATCAGTTAGTTGTCACTCGAATTCTGTGTGGGCGATCTCTTTTCTTTCTGGTTACCTATTTTTCTTGATTTGCTCCATTTTGATTTGTAGAGATGTTAATTTTTAATTATATTACTTAGGCTGTATGGTCTTTTCTGAATCACTGGATTCATGTTTTTTGGTTTTGGAAATTTTTTAGCAGTCATCTATTCTCTCTCCTACCTTATCTGGAACTCTTGACTTTAATACTTCCTTGTCTCTCTGAACTGCATTATGAATAGTTTACTCAACTATATCCCTTAGTTCACTAATTTTTTTCCTCAGCTATGTCTAATCTACTATTTAACCTATTTATTTTTCTCTCTCTCCAAATTACTTAATACTACTTACAAGGCTGTATATGACCCAGACCTACATATCTCTCTTGCCATTTTCTGTGATTTCATAATATTTGGAGAATGAAGGTAGTCACTTATGTTCATTTTGCCCCCTAAGAACCAATAATAATCAATACTGATATTTTCCTTTTCAAAATTTCTTCATATCTATAGTTTCCAAATTAACAATACATTACTTTTTAAATGAAATCTTTAAAAAGGTATTTATTTTTACAAAATTGTAAATTGTGCGAAATAACAGTAGATATAATAAACTAGCTATTTTATTCCTATTTTCAGTGACTTAGTCTTGCTTTTCAAGACTAAGGATTTCAAGTTCAATGATCATATTTCCAGGGTACTTAATTTTTACTTCCTTTACAGTGAACACTGAATCCAGGATATAATTTGGAGACTGAGGACAAGACCAAAAAGGTGCAATTTTCAGTTGATATAGATGATTTGAGGAGAAATATTAGCAAAGGTGCAATGATAATCTTAGAAAATGTAATTTTCAGCTAAATAGAATTAAAATAGACTTACAATGAGGAAACCTGCTCCAAGCATGAGTGCTTTTATTTTAACATCCAGATCAAATGGAAACTGGATCCCAAATTTATCAGCATTGATAACTAGTTCCCTCATGAATCCAGGCAATTGTTTTGAAATTTTACCAATAACCATTTCTTCATCCAGAGACAATAACTAAAATAAATAAAAATCTTAGATAAAGTCTCTGAAAAATACTAACTGTTCCTACATCAATTTTACAATTAAATAGTACCATGTAAGTTATAATCATATTAATTGTATCCTGCAATGAAAAGAACATGCAATATAGACACATAATAGCCTGGAAAACACCTACACATAATTCCTATCTAAAAGAAGTTGTTTAAGTTGATTGTGTACAACTGATTTTATATATACATGATATTTTGTATATAATACATAAGTTATATATATGCTTTATATAAATGAATTATATGTGATGAATTATGATATTTTATATATAACATATACTATGTATGAATTATATATGCTTAGTATATAATTTGCTTAAATTTGATCCAAGCATCAACTTAATTATAAAATGAAGACACTCGTTTTACAGCTGTTTTACACAGTTAACTCTTTCATAAGAAATCTTAGCTTCCTGGATGCCTCTACCTTTTCCTCATTCCATTTTCTCCCTTCTTATCTAGAATCTCTAGAGCATCACTTCTCATACCAAGTAATATTTATTTCTTAATTTATAAAAGATACTTATGTAAATATAAAACAAATCTGTGATAAATCCTACAACTTGTCTTGTAATGAATGAATGCCATATAGGAAGAGGTAGGGTGATAGGATGGAGTAAACAGGGTGACTAAAAGAACTGGGGAGATGGTTTTAGAGAAAACCTCTTAGGCATTTAAGCTGAGATATGGAAGATTGGTAGAAATTAGTAACCAGAGGAATAGGGAGAGTGAGAACACTCTAGAAAGAGTCAGCAATATGTGAAAAGGTCCCAAGTTGGGAGGGAGCATAGCTGGAGCAAGGTGAGTGAGGGAGCTAGTGGTGAAAAATGAGTGAGAAAGAGAGATATTCAGAGCTAGGTCATACATAGCCTTGTAAGTAGTGTTGAACTTGGGGAAAGAAATATGGAAGAGTTTTATGTAACTATGTCACAGCTTCTCAGGTGTTACAGAACTCTGAACACACCATTCCCCCTCATTGTCAGCAAAATGTCTTACAGACAAGATGACCAACGCCTCTCTCCTCAGTCAATTGGTTCAGGGACCATTTCCTGCCATGTGAACTCAAAAGCAGAAAAGTCTAGCCTATCATTAGGATACAAATGCAGAGAGGCAGAGGAAAAAGATGGAGAGAGCAGATACACTGGTTCACCAAAACACTATAGTAGAAGCTACTGGTCAGGAACTCACGAACTCACAGACACCAACCCCAGAAGGTTATTGTGTCTGTATCAACACTCCCTACTTCCCGCCTCTTAGGATAAATGTACTAGCTCTCTGCCTGTTTAAGGCTAGTTCCCTACATGTGCCTTAGGTCCCATGCCAAGCAAGACTCAGGGTTCATCAAATATTCACCTCTCCTGTTTCTCCACACTTTCCCTCCCATTTGGTTCCTTTCCTTTAAAATCAAGACATGCGAAGGACATCTTTCCAAAAAATACCTTTCCATCCACCCTATGCCCCCATCCAGCCAAGAACAGGATTATGGTAAGACAGTAGACAAGTCATGCAAGTGCGTAGTCAGTTTGTTTCTTAACTTAAATTTTTGGTATTTATTTATACTGAAGATTTGGCATTGATTTTGATTTTTTTAAATGTGATATTCAAATATCATTTATCTTAATTACTAAGTTTTTTGGAACCCCCTTAATATTGTATCTGAAATAAATGCCCTATTTGCCTTACCCTATCCTGGCCCTGTAACAAGCTGAAAGTGTTAAAAGGGCGGCCTGCATCTGCGCACAGGCTGACCGTCTCCCAGAACGATGGCCTCCCTTTCCTGCTCCTCACTCTTGGAGCTTGCCCAGAAGTGTCAGCTTCAAAACGGCTTTGCATCAAGCTTAGAGGAAATAGGAAGTATTTTATACACCTCGGAAAAAGTTCTGAACACATTATAATAAAGTAGGATTTACTGTGTCATAATGTGAGATGTGAAACAATGCACAAAAAGCATTTTGTCTATTGATGTCATTATAAAATGAGCCAAGGTAGCTTTGGCTCCCAGAGTTTTATGCATAGATAGTTCTGTTTCATTGGTTTCCAACTTGAAATAGAGAAGAGTCCTGCGTGTTCATTTTGTTAAAATATTCCAAACTAAACATATTAGTGCTATGATTAATTTGCCTACATATGTTTTACTTAGTGCGTGCAGGTGCCAATCAGAATCAGTATCACTAAACTGAATTGACATAATTCTAGAGAAGGAAAAAACGGCAGGTAGCATTTTACTCAGCCTGTGTCCAAATTTATGACTAAGCATTTCAGATATTAAAAAAATAAATAAACATCCTTGATAAAAGACTGAGGAGCAGTACTTTTTTCAAATCGAAAAAACAATATTTTCTGTTGCTTAAGAATCTTCACATTTAACTAAGTGTAGTGGATTTTCTTAGTTTACTAACTATACTTAATATATTTAATAGTTAACTTCCCAAATTATTATCTGAATGTTGGCCATAATCTGAGAAATAAATCAGTAAGCACATAAAAATTTAATAAGATTGTATCATACCAGTTTTTTTTACAGAAATTAGCATTAATATGTAATCTATAATTAACATTGGATTATGTTATTGTCCATTGCAGATCAGTTACCTTTTTTCTTTCAGTATTCCTTGAAATATTAAATATCAAAATTGTTGTCTGGTAACTACATACTTAAAATATAGCTTAAAAAGAAGTCATATATGCTTCATAGACATGAAGGGTTTAATTAAGCAAGGAAATTCTGAATTAGAAATTCAATTTAAAAATAGAGAAATCAGTTATAGTAACATCATGGTAACATGTTTATATTTTCCTTTAATCACATTTATTAATTATATGTATTACAAAATAATAAAATAATTAATTTGAACATTATAATCTTAAAACATAATGAATTACTCACATTAAAATTTAGATCCTTGAGACAGCTGGAAACCACACATGGCCCTCTGATTTTCATTACATCTTCCTTATTCTCACTTTTTATTTTAAACATTGACACAAATGGGTGAAAGTACTGATGAACATATCCTATTGTTTCACCAGGTGGAGCCTCAACTTTTAGCTGCAAAAGATTGAAAAATATAAAGCTGGCCAAATGAGATATGTCTGATTTTGCTGTGTGTTACCTTTGAACTTAGCTTTTTGTATATGCGAACAGAACTGTTTGTGTCTAAGGTATGCCCTCTATGTGAGAATGCACATGAAAGTGCAAAAAAACAAGATTTAGATCTTGAAAACTGTGAACTGAGACCTGATGCTGCACCTCAATACTTACAAGGAATGTGGGTATGTCACTAAACTCTCTGAAATTCGTTTTCCATTTGCACAAGAGAGATAACAATGTTCTTTAAATGCTTATGAGAAATGCTTTAAACTCCAGTCACACCAGAAACTGTTTATTACCCAATATGCCAAGGACTTCTGTATGTCTTTCAATTCAAATAGGAATTCATTTAAATTCTTTATGCCTGTTGTGATTTAAAACCTAGTTCATCAGACTCAGTAGAGACTGGCCAAATAAATTTTAACATACCATCCATACAATGGGTTATTATCAGCCATTTATAAGAATGAAGAAGTTCTATACATACTGATATAATGTTCAAATTAAATTATGTGTTAAAAATTATAGAAGAATATTTGCCAAGTGTGTTAAAAACACACATATATAACATAAATATGTATATATTACACAAGTATTCATAAAAGATTTCTGGAAGAATCCTAAACTCATAATAGTAGTTGCCTCTGGAGAGGAATAAAGGAGGCCAGGGAAACAAGAGTTTGACAGACATTGTTTTTCCTGAATACACTTGGGTTAACTAGCCCTTTTCTCCCTCCCTCCCTCTTTCCCTCCCTCCCTTCCTTCCTTCCTTCTCTCTTGCCTTTCTCTTTCTTTTTTTTTTTTTTTTTTTT